AGCATTTTTATGTCAAAGGGAAACTGATAAAATAGCTTTAATTATTTAATGTGTGAGTTGGAGTCAAAGTAAATCATTTCCATTCACAGTTTGCTCATGGAGTCTGATCTGCCCGGAAAGCAAAAGACCATAAATGAGAATTTTCTTGTCCAATGAACGCTTTTATTATTTACAAAAATAGTCTGAATACACACAAGAATATAAGAACTTCTGAAATCATTCCACTTTTTACAACATTGTTATTCCCTCCTGAGAAGTTGTACCTTTTTTTATTGTTTGACAATAACTGAGCAGGTTTTGTGACATTTTAGTATTGGTATTGCAGCTAAATTTCATTTATACTGCCCTGTAGAGCTTTATTGTAAATAAATAATGTTATATTCATAGTTTCTAACCAAAGCACATCCTGTGTGTCCCTGAGGTTTAACAAACTTGCTTAATATACATAAAACACATAAAAACTGACAGAGTCAAGTTTTAAAAACATTTTCATTCCTCCAGTTTTTACACACAGGTTAGCCACCCAGCAGTTTTATTTTTCACTGCTTGTCCTGGAGTTTTTTATTCTCAGTGCAGTTCAGCCACCTGTAGATCAGGAACGTGTGTCATGTTGCCTGTGCACTTGCATGTGTGCAGCTACAGCCGAATCACTGCACCATAGCACTGCTAGTGTTCAAAAACCCCACTGCAATTGTTCCATTGTCATCAGTATTGTACAGGATTGCCTTCATTAAGGAGACAATTCATCTACTTCAGCATCAAGACACTACATACAATGAAATAAAAATCAGTGCAACCTAAAAACACATATTCAGATTCACAGACACCCATATTCACCCAAAAATCAAAAATCAAACATCTGCATCATTCTGACATAACCATGCATGAGGGGAGAGGAGTGATGGAGACATTCTGCCGTCACTGGTGATTGTCATGTTCTCCTCAGACCACCGGGACTGCTTGATATTGGTTCCTCTGCTCAGGACAGACACACAAACACACACATGCAGATGCAAAAAAGCAGAGATTTAATATTGGTTTGAAAAGATGTCAGGAATTAAAGCAAAAACAAATTGCTTTTTTTATATATCACTTTACCTGTGCTGACCGTCCTCTTTCTGTGGAAAAAATAAATGATTATTACTCCTTTGGACATCAACACCTCACATGTCATAGTGGTAATAACAGAGTAGCCCCATGTTATCATGTCACTGTCATCTAAACACATCTGTTACGTCTGTCTTGTAAGATGTTGCTTATAGGGGCTTTAGCAGCCTGTTTGTATGAGGGTCACCTGAGTCAACTCACCGGAGCGAAGGTAGCGCAGATTCCTATACAGTATGACAAAGAGTGCCATCCCAGTGAAGCTAACAAGGAGGATAAACGTCCTGCTGACGGGCTCTGAGCAAAGGAAACAGACAACAGAAAGAAGTTATACATGTACCTCTGCTGCCACTGAGTGGCTCCTGGTACCACAATGCAGTTACTCACACTGGGTGCATTTCACTATCCATACTTCCACACTGTGTTGTTTGACAGAAAAAAGACAAAAAAACATTTGTATGCCCCAATACATAGTATGTCAAATGTAGCAGACCAAATATCCCAGGATGTACAGTATTACTACATCTGGTTGGATTTTGCAGTGTGCAAGCCAGCATGCTATTCCAGCCATTCTGATCAAGAATCCTCTGTGCAGTTTTGTAGAATACGTCTCTCAGAAGTATGAACCACAAAGAGTGCACAGAAAGATGATAGCTCATTTTGTACAGCAGTCAGTCCAAGTTTTAGGCATGATTGCATGCATACTACATGAGACAATACATACTTTGTGAGGGCAGCTACAGTAAGTACTTAAAGGGGGGATAAAAAGTATTTGATTTGGAAAGCCACTACTGCATTCTCCTCTCACCTTCAACATGCAGGATGAAGCTCTCTTTGATGGGCTCACTCAGAGACTGATGGAAGACGCTGCATGTAAACTGTTTTCCTGAGTCTCCAAGCGAAGCCTGGAGGTAGAAGAAAGCCGAGACTGAGTAGGTGCCATCCCTGTTGACTTTTTGGCCGGACAGCATGGAGTGTGACAATTGTTTGGGCAGAGGAGTCACGACTCTCTGATTGGACAGCACTGCTTTCTGCTTGTACCAACGTATTTCCACATCCAGAGGGTAGTAGCCCTTTGCCTCACACACTATTCTCTGCTCCTCGCCCTCCTGCATGGACAGAAGGGGTTCTACTTTGAGGGAGACTCGGGGAGGCTCTAAGGAGAGGAGGAGGAAAAAAGATATGAAACAGCACTAAGTGTTGATTACACATTGGACTGGTTTTTAAAAAGCAGTAAAAAAAAAAAAATGGTCACACTAAAACCTCACACAAGACAAATACACAAGCAACATTGCCATTCATTTTTATCATAATAAATATATGCAGTCCTCTTGCATGCT